CCCTTAACCATGTCTGTGTCATTATTAAAAACTGGCCTTTCAAGGCACCAATCTCACCCTTCACTTTCTGAGCCAGCACTAAATGCTCCCAGCACAGGATCACTGCACGGAAATCCTTGTGGCTTTTGGGCCTTTTCCGGCCTTTTTAGTGCAGTGAGGTGGATCCAGGGTGGGGATTCCTCGCTCAGCCTTCACTGCCCACCAGGTAGCAGAGTCCCAGATCTTCTCTGCTTCCAGGCTTTGGGTCAGCTGGGAATGTGCCCCAAAGGCTGAGCAGCGACAGGAGCAGAGCTGGAGCTGAAGGGACCTGGCAGCACCTTGCTGCAGGAGGAATTATTTACTGTTTAATTCCAGCTTGACATCTCCAGGGCTGCAGCAGCAAAGGTAACAGGCTGGTTGGAAACRTCTCCAGCATGAGACAGCTGAGGCTTCCTCATTTATTTCTCTCCTAGCTTGTGCAGAAAGCTCCCTACAAATGTCATTTTTGTGCAGATCTCATCTCACAGAGCCTGCTGGCACTGGTGAGAAGGGGCTGCACAAACCCAAAATTGCCTGAGTACCTGAGGGGCTGCAGTGCCTCTCTGCAGCAGGGTGAGGGCCTCAGCTCTGTGTGTCTGGCTGCTCAACAGATCCGAGACTCTGTGGCTGCTTTTGTTGCTGTCTTCTTCTAAGTAAGAAAATAAAAGCAGAAAATAAAGCAGTAAAATATTAGGCTAGATTAAAACTCTAAGCAATGTGCTGGCAAATGCAGTTGGGGTTTCACTAGGAAAATGGTTGATGTGTGGGAATAACTACAGCTGGAATCTACAGTTGCAGATCATCACTGGCATAATATTTTGTCTGTGGTGTCTTTTCTTCCTTTAAAGATAGTGTTCAAATACTTTAAACATCAAAGTCTTCCCTTCTRCACATTATTCATTCTTGCAAATGTCTCATATCATGCAGTAGGATGATCAGAAAAGTATGTCTCTTTAGATATGGTAAATCAATCTTGTCCTTTTGGAAAAGTGGTTGGGAATGATTTTATGGTTATTAACTTGAATTCAGTATTTTTTTTTCAACCTAGGCWTTTTAAAATTCAAAGAAACTTTCAAGCAACTTTTCAATCACCCTCTTCTTGCCTTTTCTCAAAAGTAAAATTTTACTTTTTTTGTTTCATCAGCCAATTCCTTCATCTCCTTTAAAATGAAACTCAACATAAAACAGCTCATAGAAAATTGAAGCTCACTGGTTATCTGAGTGTAACACCACACCTGGGACTGAAGGCATGGTGCCTCCCAGGGTTCTGCTGTAGGGATGCCATTTTCACAGGGTTTCTTTTAATACATTTTTTCCGAGCACTTTTTGGGAAAACTTGAACATGAGAACTGTCCAGATGATGATGATGATGGTCACACTTAGTCATACTCATTTGTTGCACTATTTACAGATTCCATTAGCTGTCTAAAAAAATGTGTAGTTCCTGTSTGTTGGTTGAGGTTAGAAGYTCCAAAGGAACTGAGGTCAGATTGWTTTGGAGTCTGTTGCCTTGAGGAGCTGCATGATGGGCTCYGCAGATAATGGCTGTAAAACCGATGCTTTATGAACGTTCTTTTCAAAATATTTTAGTTCCCTGTTGTTCTAGGTGAATTTTACTGTCTCAGACCTCCATAGCTAAAGTGAACAGGATTTTAAATGCAGGAGCAGCTGAAGTTTTTCCTCTATATCAATGTCTTCATGCCAAGAAGGAGCGTTCTGCAGTAGCCAAGAGTCACCAGAAGCAAATTTACCTCTTGTCAGATCAACATTGCACCAGACCAAGCACAGMTTCAAGGAGAGCCATGGACAACAGCAAGGTTTGGTTTTTCATGCTGCTGTTACCACTACAGCCTCAGCTTTTTGACAGCCCAGCAGCAGCTCAGAAGTGCCCCAAGGCAATAAACCATCTTTGTTACATTCAGGGAGATGCCTGTGACACTGTGACAGATGGATATTYCAGAGTGCTGACTGGCCTTTTAGATCCTTTACCTCTGTTCAACATCCCCTTCATCCACAGCCAGCTGTCCTCCATCCAGGGGCTCACTGGGGCTGGGCACAGTGGGAGCACAGGGATGGGCAGTGGGAATGCTCATGTCTTGGTGTGTCTTTCAAGCATCTCCCTAATCCATCTTGGATGATAAAGAGAACATGAACCCTGTGGAGATGAGCGGGTGGGAAAATCAGTGGGAGAGATAGAAACTGGATTTGTGATTTGGAATGGGATCCAGCATTGCCTCTGGCTTGTTCCATTGAGGGAACAAGCTACCAATGCCTTCCCATGATCTCCATTTGTTGGGTCAGCAATCAGAGCTGATTTGCATGGTTTCAGCTGGACCATTTTCACTGAAATCCAGCTGTTGCATATATTGATTTTGATTTCATTTTCTTTTGGCAGCATAAGCCTTTTCTGTGGGAAGAAAAATTGGAACTTGACCCTTTTGGGCAGCAAACAGTGGTTTTGTGTCAGTGCTGTTTGTGTGAAAATATTTCAGTACCTTTTTTCTTCTGTTCCAAGGGGGAAAAAAACCCCTAATTTTTGATCTTGAAAATTTTCCAGAAACACTTCTTCAGTCCTTCAGTCAGCTCTAACATCTCTTTGCAACTTGCTTTCAGATGTCTGAAGGAAGGAGTGAGCTATACAAGTCAGCTATTATTTGAGTGATATTGGATGAGATTTCAGCCGTGTGAACATAGTCTGTGGTGTGTACAGAAGAATATGAGAATATTTTAAGCTGACCATTTAAGAACATTTACTTAGGTCAAAAAGTGGTTTCCTTTAGCTAAGTCAGTCATGGATGAAATCGTGTCTGTGAAAGCCCGTTGAAAACTGCAGTGGTGCAAAAAATCCTCATCAAAACTTGGTAAACTCTCTGAGAAAGTTGAAGGTGTTTTACAAGGCTTGGGACCAACTATAAACTCGTGTCAAAATCCAAAATGAATTCTTGTGGCCAGCTTGTGAACTTGGAGTTTACAATGGAAATAAGAATGTAACAGATTCTTAACCATATGAAGACCAGCAGGTGTTGCTATAATATATTAAATGCTGTGGTGCCATCAAATAAGCTGCATTTGAGCATCGTTTCAGGATTTTCTTAAACCAAATTGTTGTTTGCTAGGAAAATGTGATGCTGCAAGAGATTTGCAATAAGAATATTACTGAAATAATCAAAGCACTGGAAGATTTCAGACTCTGAGCTGCTTCTGCTGAGTGAYTAGAGAGTTTTGCTACAGCTTGAGTGAAAGATCTGATCCTGCACCTAGGCATTATTTGTGTTTAAGAATCCAGTAATGTAGGAAATCACTAAATCCTGTACATATTTCCATAGGCACACCCCTATTTGAAAGAGATGACACTGCAGAAACTTGTGTCATCTTCTTCCAGGGATAATGTCAAATGATGGTGAAACTCCAGTCTAGGTTTTTTCTGCTTTGCTGATCTCCTCAACACAGATCTCATTGCTGATCCTCAGAAGACCAGGGGAGAATTCCTCTAGGACAGAAACACATCTTCTCAAAGCAACTGCACCCTCAGRGGTCTTGCAGAAGGTGAGCAGCAGGAGGGTCAGAAGTAGGACCAGCAGTGGTGAATTTACCCTTCAGGAAACCCTGTGCAGGACTTGCCAGGTTTCAGTGAATTAAGAGAAGTCATAACTTGCTGGATTTTGAGTTGGCAGCCCCTGAAACCAAGAAGGGAGGATGAAAGAGAAAAAGTGCCCAGAACCAGGATATATCCTATGGTATGCAACCCTGTAAGTGAGATGGGTATATCTTTTTGTAGAGAAGGAGGATCACTATGAACATGAATGAAGAAGCTGTTGAAAGGGCATATTTAACACCTTATATGCATTGAGATTTAAGAATTAATAGTTTTGACCTGAGATGTTATCAATTTAGACTGGATATAAAGAATAAATGTTTTATGATGAGTGTGGTAAAATGCTRGTATAAGTTACCCAGAGAGGTGRTGGATGCCCCATCCCTGGAAACRTTTGAGGYCASCTCAGACAGGGCTCTGAGCAACCTGATCTAATTGATGTCCCTGCTCTTTGCAGGGGGCTTKGAGTAGATGGGCTTTRAAAGGTCCCTGCCAACCTAAACTATTCWGTGAGTCCRTATTKCCGCGTATGCTTGGCAAGAACTTCTCCCGCRTGTGGATGTGATCCCAACCATGACATTTCCATGCAGGATCCCAAGTCAACGCTGTACTCGGGCTGCTGGAAACGCACGGAACCGAGTGCATTACCGGCTCTGCCTCTTGCTGGGAGCGCATGAACTTGGTTCAGCTTCCTTCCAGCGCTGACACGGGTGGGGCATCCYCTCCCCTCCGGGGCTGCGCCACCGCCAAGGACACCTTGGCCCCGGCGGCCCCCGGGAGCTGTCCGGAGCGATGTTCGTTCAGGACAAGCTCTCTCCAGGTGTGCGGCGGGGCTGAGATGGCCCTGGCGCGTTGGGGAAGGCGCGGGGCGGGCGAGGCGGGGCGGCTCCGCCGTGTGCATGTAGATGAGATCCCCCGGAGCACGTCACTCCGCACCGGCGCTCTGCGTTCGGGGCGGCGGACAGCGAGCGAGGGCGGGCGGGCGGGAGCCGCCGGAGGAGCAGGAGGAGGAGGAGGAGGAGGCGAGGCGGCGGCTCGGCGGAGCAGCAGCGCTCGGCCCCGCTCCATCCATGCCGCCCTGCCCGCCGCGGAGCGGGCCCCGCGGGGCGACAGCGGGAGGCGGGCGGGGAGCGGCGCGGCGGTGCTGAAGGACAGCTCCGCTCTGCTCCGCTCGGCTCCGCTCGGCTCCGCTCCTCTCGGCTCTGCTCCCCTCGACTCCTCTCCCCTCGACTCCTCTCCCCTCGGCTCCGTTGCCTCTGGCTCCTCTCCCCCGTCTCCGCTGTCCCCGTCTCCGCTCCGCGCCCCGGGCGCTCCCCTCACCGGGTGGCCGCGGGGCCGCCGCTCGCCGCGCCTGGATGCGCCCCCCGGCACCGCGCCCGCGGCTCCCATGGCGGTGGCACGGAAAATCAAAACTTTGTTGACGGTGAACATCTTGGTCTTCGTGGGTATCATCCTCTTCTCCGTCTACTGCAGGATCCAGGACCGCTCGCAGGAGCTGGTGCAGATCGTCCGGAGCGCGGACCGCCGGGCCAGGAGCCGCGGCGCCAAGGTGGGCAGCCTGGCCGACAGGGAGTCCATCCTGCAGCGCCTGGACCACCTGGAGGAAGTGGTCTACAACCAGCTAAATGGTACGAGAGCCGGGAGGGGATGCCCGCTGCCCCGGGAGGGTGATGCAGGATGGGCAAGAGCCCCCAAAGTGTCCCCTCSCTGGGGAGGGGAGCCCGGGCACCGATCTCGCTGACCCCAGAGCTCAAGCGCTGAAAAGCGAGGGGAACAGGGGACTGCAGGGCTTTGCTGGAAGGGTTTGTTGACCCTACCACCACCGCCCTGCCTCTCTGCCAACTCTTGGTCCAAAGTCAGGACTCCCTCAATAGGTGCAAAGTTAAGGAGGCTGCAGTTCAGGGGTTTCGGGATTAGAGGACGTCCCTTCGAACTGGACCAGGTTTTACAGTTTGCCTGGATATTAACTCTGCATAGGAAGTTGTTTGTATGGCAAATACGCTGTTAGGTTGTAGCTGGAAGTGATATACTTGGTTTCAGAACTACTTAAAAAGCATTCTGCTGAGCTCTTACATTGTGYACTATTAATGGTCTGTTTAAACATAGCACCCATATGTTTCCTTAATGGTTTTGCCACTTAAATTTGTTATTGTCATTGATGAGGAGGGGAAGCATCAACCAATTCTTTTTATGACTTACCATTCTAATTCACCAGCCTTGAAAAATATTGCAAGGTAAGCAAAGAACCCTTCCATGGTAGTTAAAACAGACTAAGCCATCAAAGTTGTTACAGGACAGATAACATTTCATAGAGAAACTAGTTCTTCAAAATGAGTGCATTTGTACTTGCATGGATTTGTAAAGTCCTAAGTGTGAGACATCAAAGAAATAAGTATGGGATTAAATACAGCAGTGTTTTGGACAAGAAGAGGCTGGAGGAGTAATTTCATGAACTTTTGCATGGAATTATAATATAAATGTARCATTTAGTGTTTTGTACCAAATAAAATTTTCAGCATAAATGCTTTTAAGTAGAGCAAATGTKCTTCTAGGCTGCTTGTGGAAATCTTACTCATAACATTGATTTAAGAAAGAGAGCTGTAGTCTCAAAATGCAGACAAATAGGAGGGTTAGGATAAAGTATGTTTCCTATTACTACTTTCTGAATGAATGTATAAATCTAAGTAAGTTAGGCTGTTATGGTAATACACTGTTTGTGCCAGCAAGTGTAAGAGAACAGACATCCCCTCACATTCTCCTCTGGATAACCAGGGCAGAGAGAGGGGGAATGGGTTGGGTGGCTGTTCGTCTTGAACCCACACATCCAGGAGTTCGAGGAAAAGTGCCAAAAGCTGTGTTTTCCAACCATGTTTTGGAGCAGTTTTGAAGAATGCAGGATTTAAGTGGAAAATTCTTCTTGTGAATTCCACAAAACCGCAAAGTTCCCAAACTAAATTAGATCGGTCCACAAGATACATCATTGCAGTTCAACTGAACAGGGGTGTTTTTTGGCTCAAATGGATTTGTTGTTGGTGTTGTTCATAGCAGAGACTTTGGGTAGGATTTTGCTGTGCTGTGCTCATCTCAGCATAGCATCCCCTGGAGAACCAGCAGGAGTCCTTAACCTGCTAGGCAGGCACCATTGCACGCAATGGCTGCAAGTTCTCTGTAAAGTCTGTCTCTATTTTGGGAACTGTTTTCTGCATCTTCTTTAATTTCATTTATTGGATATGGAACTTCATAGTGAAATTACTTGAACATAGTGTTATGTTACTTCTCAGGTCATAACAAACACTGCAGGCAGTTTTCTTTTCCTGAAAGTTCTTACATAGGAAAATACAGAAAGTTTTTCAAGCTGAGCTGTTCAAATTTYCTATTTACTTCCCTTTAATTTCTCTCTGATGTGACTGTTGGGTTTTTAAACACATATATTAAGACAGATTATATTATATTAAAGACAGATTATTTATTTCATCATCATTCTGATTTCAGCAAAAGCAAAAAGTCCTAAAAAATTAGAATCTGCTCCATTGAAATCATCAGAGTTGCATCGTTGTAAGTGAAATCAGGATCATGCATCTCTGTTTGGGTTTAGCTCCCTGGTATTCTGTTTTTAATATCATGACTCATTATTTATGCCATTAATGGGCAAAATGCTGCTCTGGCAGTGCTGGGATTTGGAGGAGCCTGTCTGGCAGGGCTGTGCTGTGTCACAGCAAGGTTGGTGTTACACAAACACTCCGAGTGCTCTGCAGCTTCCCCTGAACATTGAGCAAGGTTTCTCAGGCACTGTGCTGCACTTGCTGCCTGATCACAGGCTCAGAGAGCTGACTGAGGCTGTCCTGGGTGTCACTTTTTCATAAGGAGGTCAAAGTCACTTTTATGTGAAGAGACAGACATGAGTAGACAGATTTTACTTGGGATTCTACGAGTTCCTTGCATACCCAGAKCCCCTCAAAGCCTCAGGAGGCTGAGTCCAGCTCAGAGTTATCATTGCAGCAGCTCAGCCCAGAGCAGTRTTTCAGTTTTCTGCTCTTGGTCCTTTCTCTTTGAGATCAGCAAATTTAGAGCTACTTATTAAATGTATTTTTGGCAATACCATTTCACTGTTCTTATATTTCATTTTTCTCTTCTATTTAGATGAGACTGAACTCATAAAACTTACCTGGATTTTCTATCTGTTGGTGATCCAGTGCAATAGAAAGTCACTCTGTGAGAGACCAGCCCTGCAGCTGCACAGAATTTTGTTTCTGTCACACATATTTGTTTACATACAATCAAGGAAATGTTATTTAGAAGTGTCTACCTTCTGCAAGGAAAATAAACACAGGCAGTAACATTACAAATGTATAAAGAGGCAACCCAAAACTGATCACTTGAGAACTCATTAACTTTTCAGTCTGAATAAAATCAGTGAGTGCAGTGCCTGTGGAGGTGCATGCAGAACACAGAGGACCATGCATGAAAGTCAGGAGAAAGCTGGTCCTTGCAATTATYTTTGGCAGAACAAGAGTTTTTAGAATAGGATGAGTGAGAATTGCCAYGATTCCCTGCAGAGTCGAGCAGACATACACCCAAACAATACTTTGCACTTGGCTCGTGCTCTGTTTTTTTTTATCAACTTGGGAAAAATTGTATTTCTGAAAGCTTTCTGTTCGCTCAGCTGCTGCTGGGTTTGGTGGAAGCAAATGAACGGAGCATGTAAAAAGGAAAGGAAAGCAATGAAAYGTGTCAGTGGAAATTTTCTTGGGGAGACTTTGTATTACCTCCTGATGTTTGACCTTGGGTACAATGTTTATTGTGAAAAACTGAGTTATTATAGATCTAGTTGAACAATCTATATATATATATATGGTATTTTTTGCTATGCTGTTGCTCTTGATGGATATATTTTATTGTCATTCAACTCAGAASTCATGCCAGCTAGACTTGGTAATAATTCATTAAATGGCACACTGATAGCACCTTCGTATTTTCTTTCTTAGCCTTTACTTTTTTTGTAAAGGGGGAAAAAAATTAAAAAATATTTAATTGACTGAATTTTTCCGCTAATCAGTTTTGCATCTAAGTCTGTTGCTAATGATTCACCATAGAGGATAAAGAATTTTTGATGCCCCAAGTAGAGCATAACCTTTCATGCCAAAAGCAATTGAAGGTCAGACTACAATTTCAGTCTAATTGCCTTTTYCCCTTTTCACTGTCTCTTTCCAGTAATACACAACAATCAATACAGCATGTAATTAGATTTCATTCAATCTGCAAAGATTAAGAGAGCTTTCATCTTCTCATTATGTATTCTCACATCGTGTCTTCCTACCCATGTCTTCTACACTAAACCCCTTTGACCTGTTCTGTTTTAGACATGGAGGGATAAGTTGGGAGTATTCCCTTGAATTTGACAGGTTATCATTTGTTACACATCATAATTTGATTTTASCCTCTTTGGGAAGATTAAATGCAATGGCAATTTCCAGTATGATAAATGGGGTTTACATTACATATGCATTTCATGGAGGAGGCATTTCGTGGGAAAAAGTGGACAATTCACCTAATTGCAGCACAGAGGCTTAAATTGATGGAAATAGCAGGTCTTGGGTGCAGAGTACTGATTCATGCTGACTGGGACTCCTGATTTTTAGAGTGCACTGGAAGCGAAGTGATTGCATTTAAAATTCAGCCTGGCAATCTGCATAGGTAAAAGTTACAGTAGTATTTTTWAAAGGGCAGTTCATTCTTCATAAGCTTGGGAGTGGGTGAAAGTGGGTCCAAATTTCCATATTTGAAAGTAAGGGTTGGGAACAGGCAGCAAGTGAGTTATGTGAATGTCCACATCAGCTTTGACAAAAAGAAAATTTTCCAGCTGGCAGCTGGCTGAAGAGCAGTTCCTTGGCAGAGAAGAGAGGTAAAGTGCAAGGGTCACATTCAGTGTGACTGCAGCCTTGTGCCAATGAAACTGCACCTTCTCCTACCCACACATCTTATAACTGTTTWTATTTTACATGTTTGTGGTCTGATGCTAACGTGCATTTGGTAAAATTAGCACATAAATATCTCCAGAAGTTTCAGTTCACTCGTGGGCTCTGCTCTCAGCCTTGTGCTTTGCTTGTCCTTTATGTGGTCTCATTTTGAGGATGTTTTTAAAGAAATGCAAGGTTAGGTCTCAAGAAAGAGGGAAAAAAACCCACCAATTTTTTTATTTTAATTTTTTTTTTTTTTGGTTTCTATTTCTTTGTTTGCTACAAAGTTCTCAAGCTTAGGTAAGTCAAGGTTGTTGCATGCCTGACCTTCTGTATTGCCAAGTAATGGTCAAGTCCAAAAGACGCATTTCCCCATCACACTTCCTTTGGTTGTTTTAYTCATGATTTATGTAGCTGAGGGAGCTCAGTCAGTGCTTTTAGGAAGGTCAGGATTTTATTCCCCAAAACAACAGAAGGAAAACGTAATGAGCCAATATTTGGATAGCCCCTATATAAATATGAGGTGATATTTTAAATGGTATTACTCTATTTAGGCACTTTAGAAAGAGAAGGTTGAAAAGTTTAGTTGAAAAAGAGGGCAGCTCTCTTTTGTAAAACAGGCAAAATTGCACTCAGCTCTGCAAAATATTGACAAATACAAAAAAATATGG